CAGATTCATAATTAGTAAATACTTTCCACGAGTTTAATCACATTTATTTACTACCAAATACAAAACACTCTTTCTCGAAAGTTCCTTTTGCAAAGCTTTGCCACTAGTGCATCATTTTTATTGTTCGTCAAATAACAAAATTTAAAAACTAAAACTATGTGTTACTCAAACACATCAAAATTAGAATCCTTATTGAAAGAAGAGAAGCAAAAATTCTAAACAGGTAAACGAATACCTATTCTAATAAATTGAAAAAAAAAAAAAAAACCCGCTTTGTGTTTTATGTTTTAGAACATGTTTTTCTTTTATGATAGAAGTTTTTATAAACTGTTGGTTTATCATTTAGAATTGAAACAAGCTTTTCTTTTCAAGAAAATATAGAGGCAGAAATCTGTTATTTTACTTCTCTATTCAGATTTAAATAAGGCAAGATTACTCCCAAGTAATCTTATTTTTCTAAAAATATTGCAATCGGTGTTGCTTTTGTGATAACAGCATTTTACTCAGATATTCTTCAGTTGGTTTTTATTTGAAATTTATATTGAAGTATATTCATTAGTGATAAACGATTTGTACATTGATCACTTTTCTACAAACTTGCTTGAACGCTAAACATTAATCGATATTTGTGCAAGCATTTCTTTTAAGAAACCTGACTGTTTCTTTAATTTATGAATAGATGGACCGTATTCGTCATATAATCATCACGTATTCTTCTCGAACTGCGAAATGGTTGTGCTCTGAAAAATCCAGCGTAAGTTTAAAATATTATAAATTTATAAAGCAATTTTTAAATACGTCACAAGGATATCCAACATATCAGATTTTTCGATTGTCATAACTTAGCTTGTCTTAGCTTAACTAAGGCAGACTTACGTTAATCCATTGCTATTCGAAATCACTGAAAACAAATTTTGAAGTATAAATAAAGTATCAAATATCTCGCATAATTTATTAACTATTGCACTGAAAGTGGAAAGGCACTGATACACTATTAATGTTTACAATCAAGAACATTCTAATCTTAAAGAATGTTTGTAGAATTAAACTTTAAATTTATTGGTAGGTGAATGAAATGCAATGATAATTAAAATCATTGAATTTACTTTCTTCTAATAAGACAGGCAGCCAACAGAATGTACTGGCGAATTGACCTTTCTTTATTGTTTTTGAATGTTTTTCATCAAGCGTATTGTTGTTCAGGAACCATGCTTTTACTTTCCAGTATTTTTCTCTCCCTTTCTTTTTTCTTTACGTATTTCTCTGTCGCAAACACGAGCATCCTGTTTTTCTTTGTTGTCGCTCTTGAACATATTAAGGCTGTTCGCATAATTTTTAGTCGATTCTCATTATATTTACAGAAATACTTTGCCTACAATTTTGTGTTTTAAATGTTTAATTTGATAACCGTTATCCTTCACTATCTTTCCACGCCATACTTCCAAAGACAATACAGCCATTTTTGGTATCTAAATAGATATTTCATACCATTTCTCTTGAACAGCTTTCCAAAACTCAAGGAGGGTTGTAGATCGACTTTTGGAACATTCTATTTTTAAAAGTCCATAAGCGCATAAATCCGTACTTGATACACCATGTGATTTAGTAGGGATATGAGTGAAGCGTATGGCCTTGATACATTTTTCTTGTTTCATTTTTCCAGGAAATTAACAGTGAAATTTAATGTGCGACTGCTTGTTTTCTCTTAATGCAGTTCTACTGATTGGCGACACTGAGGGTAAAGAGAAGATATTTCATATTTAAAAATTGGGTATAAAATAGGTTTCTTATAATATGTGAAGTTAATTTAATAGTTTTCTGCACTGTCTTTAATTTTTATTTGTCGTTATATCAAAAAACAGCAACAATCATAAATTCCATCGAAAAACGTTTCTTTAGGTTCTTTGAACTATGATCTAAGGTATTTTTTTTCTTCTCTTTGATGAAAATATATGGATTTCTTTCATTGCGACAATTTAAATATACCCAAGATTCATATACAATGACAACAATTTTCCATTTTTGTTCAAATAACTTCTTTTCATAGAGAATTCTGCACAGAGCTCTGATTTCGGCGATATGTCGTGCGGAAGAAAGAAGATTCAAAAGTGTAGTTGCAGTTAAAAGGAATTTTCCTAGCAGGCAATTTTTTAGAGCAAAGCAACGTCATCTAAAAAAATGTGCGAATATTCTGCGAAAATATTTGGTGCATGTTGATAACTTGACAATAGATCTAAACTCAAAATCTGTTTTACACTTTCTACTGAAAGCATTTTTTCCCCCTTAAGCACTGTAAACCCAATACTTATTAGACATGATATTTTAGAAATCCTTTGCTAAATCTCACTACTAAAATTCCTCTTTATGAAATCAAGACATTCAGGTTATTGATAGACTGTGAAATTAAATTTTAGATGAACCTCTTTATTTATTAATTACTGTGATTATAATAAAGTAGCTGATATTTATAATCTGAACAGTTTTTAAAGTATTTCTCCCGCCTTCTCAGCATGCCTTCGTGGTGTAGTGGTCAGCACGCTCAGAATGTATCCGAAAGTCCGTGGTTCGAGTCCCGGGGAGGGCAGTGCTCTTTTTTCATCTCTCTTGCTTTTAAAAAAAAGATTCTCCACCGCCAGGATTTGGCGATTAGGTCCCCTAGTCCCCCAGTCGCCCTTTAATGGGGAAGTATATAAGGTATTTCTCCCGCATTCTTAGCACGCCTTCGTGGCGTAGTGGTCAGCACGCTTGGTGCATATTCGAGGGTTTCGTGGTTCGAATCTCGGGGAGGGCATTGCTCATTTTTTATCTACTCATGCTTCAAAATAACCTAATGACTCAACAAGCTGAATGAAAATAAATAATTTACAATGAAGCAGAATCTCAGTTTTTCCCTGAGTAATTTAGAAGCTTAAGAAAGTTGTATCTCCTAAATTAATTTTAAATAATTACTATAATTACTCATTAATTTATTGACTTAAAACTCATAAACAAACCACAAACAGTTAGGAGCCTGTTAGGCCTCTCAATTAATTGCAGAGCCTCTTATACTTCTTTAAATTTTATTTATGTAACCTATTTTCCTGGAAAACAAAATATCTGAACAATAAAAAGGTCTTTGCAGAATAAAATAAAATAAACTTTTTAGTACATTTGAATCGTTTCTGTATGTTAGCAACATAAAATAAACCTACCAATACTTTATTAGGAACAACGTTAGTGCTTTAATTCTAGTATATGAAAGTATATTCACATTTATGAGTGCACTCAGTATAAATAAGTATAACGATGATCAAAAGATGATAGAAAAGCTATCATTGCAATATATAGATTAATAACATATGTTGAATGCTATCTCAACTTCCATTTCGTATTGCAGGAACAATTAAAACAAGAAAATAATGCCTTCCAAATGGTACAGTAGTTAGAGGAGCCTGCTAGGGTACCGTAGTGCCAGGGTTCGAATCCCCGAGAAAGCATGGATGTTTGTAAATGTATAGTATCTTTGCGGTATGGAGACGGTCTAAATTTATATGGCTAGCCCAAAGGCCTCTCATGTGAACTGGTCGTAAAGGAGAGGGTTGGGAGACCTTTAGACCATCCCCTGGTCAGAATTGCTTCTTCGGAATTGGGGCGAAATAGAAGTCCAGCTTTGGCAACCATTCTTCCACGAAATTCATGGACAAGACAACAATAAAAAGAAAAGAAAACAGTTTAAACGATTAAACCAAAAACTATTCTAACGATTTTTTTCATAAATTGTTTATAAAAATAAATAGCTTTAGTGTTACCCTAAAGTTGTTTAACAAGCAATAAATAATGCAATTTTTAAGATAGAAATTTAGAGAGGCTCTATAGACACCCTAAATTCCAATACTTTAATACGACAGTTAAACGTGACAAATGAGACCAAAGCAAAATAAATGCCAAAGTAATGAAAATTATACCTGAGATTATTAAGAATGTCTTACGAATTTTAAGCGAACTAACTATAAAAATCTTGCTTATTTATTCTAAAAAGGTAAATAAAATTATTAAAAACCTATTCATAAAATACCATAATAGCGCATTTATGAAAAACGCATATCGTGTGAGTTATTAGAATTCTTATTGCCGCTTATGTTACAGCAAAAGCTAAAGAATAAAAGTTCCTAGAATCATAAAATTTTATTCATGGAATGGTTATATGCCAAACGTGATAAAAATACGAATAATCAACTTTTACGCAACGCCATGAGAATATATCCTCCAAATAAATTTCCTTCGCAATCCGCGAAACGCTTTATTTTTCATTCGACCCAAACTGGCTGACCAATCAAACCTTTCAGACTTTTTCCCATTTTTCTTCGTCAAACTTCCCAGAGCGCTGAGCGCACCGCTTCAGAAACAGTTCCTGCATCTCCGGAGCAGTCCCCTCCCAAACGCACGGCAAACGGATGAACAATTTGCACAAAATCGAAGATCAGCCCCCTAAATATGTCCCTCTTAAACCTCAAACGGTCTTCGAAATTGATAGGCACTAATGCAGAAGTATAATACTTCCTACTCGAAAAGAAATTTTTTATGGCACCAGTTACGGTGCGTAACAATTTTTTCTCTTCTCCCTCCTCTTCGAGACGTTCACTCCACGGTAATATCGATAATACGTCGAACGGGACATCACTCCACCACAGTTGGCACGATATCGCTCCAGCAACCTCCGCCAAGATTGGAGAATTAAACCAAAGAAAACTACCTCCTCCCCCTTTCGCTTGCTGACCGATATATAAACAGCTATATTTCCAACTGGCAAATGCTGGTCTAGTATTTGTGGCATCGAATGATTCAGTATTAATTGTGGAGCATTTAAATGAAGACATTTTCCCGAAGCGCTGCTAGGAACCTACCCCCCCTTCTTCCTATTGATTGGGCGCGAGGATTATAGCTTCTGCCTTCCTCCAGCGATTCCCTCCCCCCCCAGTTCTCCCCGGCTCTTATATCGTATCTCGCTCCACCTCCATAGCCCCCGACATCCCTCCTTTCCCACCCCCTTTTTACGATCCCAACGCAACGCCGCGTGGTTGATTCAGTTGCGTCAGTGCATTGAGCAGAGGCGGCCGAGAAAGCGAGCATCGGCCAACTTAGACATCTGGGAGCGGCGTGCTTCTGTGAAGCGACCAGTAATCAATCCAGCAGATTTCGTGACACGATTTACCCGGTGTAATTTTACTTTCGGATGATGGGGAAAAGGAATATGTAAATGTTGCTTCTGGTGCACTTTTTGGACTTTCTGGAAATGGTATAAACTTGCGACAGACCGTGGAACTGATTAGATTTGTTTTCTTTTCTATAATAGACAGGTATGACTTTGTATTTTTTCGTTTTATCCTATAGTAGCCATAACCATACTTGAAATGAAAATAGACCTTTTAATATGGACTTAAAATATTGATCAAATTTTCTACATTTCAGTGCTATTTAGATGACAAAAATTTCATCATAACGGCTCTTATCAATAAGAATTTTAAGTACTGAGTAACCCAGGTAGTACGAGACTGAAATATTTAGATGATATCTGACTTGTAAACTGCCTTAATATTAAACTGAAAAGTCAACTATTCTTGACATATTATTGCTTTATTGGAATTATGAAGAAGAAATGCTTGATCTAGTCAGAACCCGTTTGTAACGGTTATTAAAATGTGAACGCAGCGTAGGTTTAATTGTTTAAATATAGGTTTCTATTTATTAGTGATTTCTCAGTACAACATTCCATTTTATCATCTAAAGTATTCCTTATAATTTTGTTCGCGAACATAATGTAAAGATAGAAGTACAGAATGGCTGCATTTAATGGCACTTTAGCTAGACGACACTTCGTAGTATTCTAAGCAAAATATTTCTCTACAAGTATACTTTTTTAAAAACTCTTAACTGAGAGTTATTGAAATCATATTAAAATAAGTTTCGCTCTCAGAGATTACCAAATGCAAGAATTCTACATGATGCAACAAGCCAATGGCTGTGGGTCCAACTCCCCTTCACCTTTTCAGAATCATCACCACCAGCATCAGCTGGCATCCTCTCCAACGCAATTACCTGCAGTGACAGCTATCCGAACGTGGCATCCCCACGTTTACGCGAAACCTCCTAGGCACCCCACACCTCACTTCATAGCTGATATTCTTGGTTTCCGGGACAAATCGCCAGAATTAACAAGTAATTATTGTACGATGGCTGTTACACCACCTCCACTCCAGCAGGACACTCTAATTGCGCCTCCTCTTGTAAATGGGACAGCTTTGCCAAAACAGTCACTGATGCATCATCATCAAGAACTTAGAACTCCAGTGGAACAGCCACTGAACTTATCCTGTCCAGAAAGCAAGAAATGTTCTAACTCACCCTACGTTAATTCATCAACGACTGTGTCCAGCTCCTGTTCTCCTTCTACAGGGCCTGTAGACTTCGAAGCACCATCTTTACCAAATGGCAGTGTGCCACCAGAAGCTATTGTCATTCCAAATGTTGTGTGTAAACTAAGATTAGAACTGGCACAGAAGTCCGGAACGCCACCCAATTGCAATCCCGTTAGGACATCTCCCGTTAATGGGAACTTGTGCATTAGACCCATTGTGAGGAACGATGAAAACTTAGTGACTAATGCATGTCATAAAGAAGGCCCTCCCTTAGCAGGAGTGACGACAGTAATAGCGAACTCTCTAACCATACCAGAAGGCAGTCAAGCACCCATGAAAGGTAAAATTTTGATTTTTAGTTTCTTTGGTGGCGTGAGGTATAAACTTTATTGAAATATATAATTCTAATTTTAATGAAGAACTTGAAGAATAGTTACTTAATTATAGAAAATAATTCTTGGCTAAAATGTCTCTAAGAGAGTACGTTTTATTTTCAGCTGATAATTTTAATTTCAGAGTGTTTTGATAAAATAATTAAAAAAGGAATTGACATAATTATTTTATATTTTTAAGAGTGTCTTATCATCTGTGAATTCCAAAACTACGTTCGTAAACTTTACACAAGAAACGTTTTTGATTAAGTAATAAGCTTGTAAGCTCACTTGTAAGTGTAAACAGTAAAAATCTGCAGTAATGTAATATTTTTCAATAAGTATATTCATCTAGTTAGGATTACTTAGTCCACCAGGAGCTGTAAAAGTCTGAAATTAAATTGCTAAAATCCTTACTAGTTAATTAATACTGATTAATTATTTTAAATACTAACATACGAAAGGTAGAATGAAGTAAATTTTTCACATTCATGAAGCGTATATCACCTTCATGAAGCGTTTTCACACCAGCTTTATATCCCTAGATGTTTGTCGTGCATTTTAAAAGTACACTGTTTTCTCATTATGCTTGATAGAGTAAAGATTGTATTTAAGAGTAAAACTACATATTTCTATCTTATAATGAAGAATAAATGTAAATCATGACAATGTAAAGGAGATCTTATGCTAAATTATTGCTGAATAATTTACTTTTAAAATTTTTACCTAATTTAACATTTTCTTATTACAGTATTACTATGTAATTAGGTGGGAGACTGATGTAATATTGCAATCATCCGTTGTATTATTCACAGCGGAAAGAACATGTATAGAAATTTGACAAGCTGCAGTATAAGGAACGCATTTTATATGAAAACGAAAAACGCTGTACTCAGATTAACTGTAGTTTTTTAAATAAAAATCAAGTGTTTATGAATGAAAAGAACTAAAACACTCATAGTGGCTTTCGTTAAGTTAAAAATACGTAGACATTTCTAAAAATTTTGAAAGACTTGTGGTATCTTGAAGTATTTGCTTTAGAATATTATGTTAAATATTTATGAGCTTTAACGTGTAACTAGTTTCAAAAGCATGTATACTCGATAAAAGTTTCTTTCCCTTCGGAATCCATTCTTCTTACTTCTTCTATAGCACGTATTTTTGAAATGCGAATTGACTATAATACGATTGATTTATACGGAAAAGCACTTTCCTTGAAGAAAAGCATATGTGGCATAAAAAACGATCGAAATAAGGAGACGGAAGGAAATCAGACGAATAAAATGAGGAAAGAATTTATTTTGATAAAAATTATTGCCTACCAAATTAAGATTTTAGTTTTGTTTGCAGATTTTTCTTTTACGTTCTGTATATTGAATTACAATAATGTAACAAAATTTTTAAAAAAATTACAGTCATCCGGGTTTCTTTCTAATTTCCTACGGATGAGGTTTAGATACAGTTAGACCGAATATGCAGAGAATTTTATGCACTAAAAATGTAACATTTCTACCCTAAAAATAACAGAAACATAGCTCCACAGATGGGAACTAATTTAAGTTTATTTTATTCATACTAAAAATGTGTTTCTTTAAATTTTGCTTATGTCTGTTTCTGCGGCAATAAAATGTATGTGTAGGTAGAACGAAAATGTGTTTTTTTCAGTTCTTGAGTTGGCGGTTTTATTTCTTGCTCTATCCGCAATTACTGACAGAGAAACTTGATACAACGGAAGAGTATTCTGTTAGCTTTTCTATTTAAAACTTATGATTGGTTCATTAAAAAAACAATGCATTTATTGTATCCTGCTCTGGGTATAAAAATAAAGGATGCACAGCGCTCCATTTGATGTGGTTAAACACACGAAATGTTTAAGATAATTAATGAACGTTTTATAGGGTGCTCATTGTACTCAGAAGCAAATGGCTGTCAGAAGTTGGCAAAGAAAGACAGCTGGACCAAAAAGCTGCTTGGCATTGTTTCCCCGCGAGAAGTATTTTCAGAGTACAAATCCAGCTAATTGTAAAACTGTTTTCTCGCCGGATCTGCTAACTGTTAAACTATTTTCTCCCGTAATCGAAATAACTGGAAGATGGTAACAAAGTTTTATATTCTCAGAAAGAAATTCAGTTATCGTCTCTGAGGAACATTAACTGTTTTCTAGCAGTAACAATAACTGCCTCCTATCTTGTATCAAAACAAAACAGGAATCAACTTTTAAGTTACATTGAATATTTAAAAAGTATTTCTTGGAAAAACTATTCTTTCAGTTTCGTATATTTTTTTTTTCTTTCAAATTTTAAGATTAAAAATTTTTTAACTAATTATTGAAATTTAATGCCGTATGCGTACGTAATATGTAGGTTTTCAAATGTAAGTAGTTACTTAAAAATCAACCCTTTTTTTAGCTTTACTATTTAATTAATGAATCAACCCTTTTTTACTATTTAGATAACAGTACATTTATACGAGGGAGTCAATAGGTATGTTATTGATGGAATGAATAGTTAATGTATATTTACATTGTTTTTCCACAGCAGAGAAAGAAAATTTGTGAAAATCATAGCCAGTAACTTAGTTAAATCGCCTAAATTACCTAGTGCGTATTGTCAAGTTTGCAGTTACAAATCACATTCTTAAGTAGATAATATCCAGAACCGTAGCTAAAGTTTTTCAGTTCCCAGGGACAACTGAAGATTTCGCGCACGCTCCTATATGCCAAGAATGGGAAACATTTAATTCTAAAATTTCGTAATATCAATTTGCCTCCCCCCCTGGATGCTGCGCACATTACCCCCTCTAGCTACGCCCCTGATAATATCAAGAAAAAGTTATTTCCTTGCTTCGGTAGATAACAGAGTATTAAGAGCCTGATTATTATAAGTCCGTGGTTCGATTCCTGGCGAAGGCGTTGTTCATTTTTCAAGTCTCCTGCTTCCAAAATACATAAGTTTCTGCAATGTAATGCAGAAATTCCTGCCGTTTTAGCATTGACTCTTTAAATCTTCAGTCTAAGAATCTATATCTTCATCTTGGAATATTAGTTTTACGATAATTAAGACTAATTAACTGAGCACACTGAATTAGTTTTATTAATTAAATGAAATTAGTTTCGAATCAACAAAATCATTGTAAATTTTAGTATCATATATAAAACCCTTAATATATAACCCTTATACCCAAACAATGCGCCCGCCTTAAATGCACTTCTGTAAAGCATATGCATATGATTTGTACAGCTTAATATAGATGAAAATTAAGATAGATGATTTATTATCGCTTCATCTTACATTAAAGGAACGTTTGCTTGATAAATGAGTATGCTATTCAGACCTCGAGAACATTTAATTATTTATCTAATTGTATTAGCATTTAGACCATTTAGTTATTTATTTTAGAAAATGCCATATCATATCATTATTAATATATGTAAGCTTCTCTTTTATTGTGCTAACACTTTTTTTTATCTTAAAACATTCAGGTGTACAAAATCTTCTTATGTGTGAGGCTGCACAAAAACTAGGTAATTGTTACAGAGTATTATTATATTTAATTTTAGCAGTGAATTAACAAAATATGTTACTTGGATTATATGCAGAGCCTTTGCTCTAAATTAGCATTTTTAGAAACTTATACTGCATTTATTATTTTAACATCATAGCAAAACTAATGAGTTTTACAGCTGATCATGAGCAAACTCTCATGCAAACAACTGTATGTTACATTATACAACCATTACAAATCTTTCTGCAGCAGGATTTTGAGTATTATTTAACAAAAATTCCACGCTGTGTGATTTAGCAGATTACCAAGTCTCGCTGAAATTAAAAATACCGCAGTTTGACCTCCAGGAACAGCAAACTTTGTCGGCGCCCGAAAAATTAATGAATCCGCGTGGCAGAGAAGACTGATTGTACCCGATGACAATGCAACCTGGTTTGTGATATTCTAGACAGATGGAATGAGAGAAAGATTCCCATTTATGCACTTAATTCTCTTAGTAAGAATTTGTTTGGATGCAAGGGTTACCTAACGAAAGACTGAATAACAGAAGAAACAAAATGGGCAGTATACCTTTAAGCTTAGTATTATATGCGCGGCCACAACATAGAAAATCAATGATTTGAATCTAAGCGGAGATGATACTAAATAGTTTTAATAGTGGGAGAAACACTGGATCATGAAAATTATTTACGAAGATTATAAAAAACTAGCGTATTGATAACTGGGAATTTTCGTTACGATTTCGAAGAGCAGATTTCGTTACGATTTAGCAGAAATGATTTTGTGGATACAAAACTAAACTTAGCAGCACAAATACACACTGATAATCACTTAGCTTCCTTTTCAATACAAATAATTCCATATTAAGGTAGAATTTTGTTAGATATCAAATTTAAATTAGCGAGAGTTGTTTGCATCTAATTTTGTCCTATTCCGTAACGAAAGAGAAGAACAATTTAAACATCATAAACTATACATGATTGAGTAATGTAAAGCCTAGAATTGAGCATTGGGATGTTACTAGAAATCGTAAGAAGGAAGTTCTTTTAACTCGCCTCAGAATTGATCACATTAGAGTGACACATATAACTACCTTTTGAAACCTGAGAATGAGCCTTGTTTGTTCAAGTTGTAATGTTTGTCTGTCAGTCCTTCATATTTTATTTGAGTGTCCATGTTTTAATAGTCTCCATCAGAAATATTTTAATAGCTGACTTACCTCTCGACCGTTTAATCGGAAGTGATATCAATTGTAATTTATTTTATTATTTAAAAGAGCTTAGCTTTTATTACCTAATCCAATCTGTTTTGAAAGATTGTGTATTGTATTTTAATGTGCGCTTTTATGACTTCATCCTCTGGATTTCATACATTTGGCCACCTTTTCTTTATTTACTAAGAAATTATTTTTATTTCATCAAATTAGATCATCCTACCTCATGCTTGGCGCATTATAATCATCTTT